CTCTGAATCCCTCGTTCTTAGAAATGAATTATATGTGCCCACCTTCACATTTAATTTGGTCTCTGTTATCCAATTAATTAAGAATCCAACCATCTGTTTATGGTTTCATTCCTCTTTCTGTCTCATTCAGGAGCTTCCTTCCCCTGAAAACGAATGGTACAGCTAGCCTAGTGGCAGGGTTGTACATTCTGCACTCTCCCCAGCAGACAGCTCACTTACAACTCTCATATATCCCTTCTCAATCTACTCAAACACACTCTGTAGAAGCTTTTCTACAGCAAAACAGCAGTTCAACATCTGGCATTATAGACTTGGTCATCTTCCTCACACAAAACTATTATCCTTACATCTCAGTAATCCATCTGTATACAGTATTGATAATTTTCACTGTCTTGTTTGCCCTCTAGCAAAATAGAAGGGATTACCTTTTTTATAAGGGTGATATAGGTTTAAATTTTTGTGATTAAGGTACTACTGAAGGGATTTGAACCTGGGACCTCCGGGTTTTAGGCTAGTGGTATTACCACTAGGCCACACCCTTGTTCGTGATTACCTTTCCCTATAAATAAAAGTACCTCTGTAACTCCCTTTCATTTGTTACATATTGACATCTGGGGCAATGCCCCTTCTAAATCATTGAATGGTCATTCCTACTTACTTACAATTGTTGATGACTATTCCAGGCACACTTGGCTTTTCTTCATGAAGCATAAATCTAAGGCCAAAAAACATTATCATTACCTTTTTTGAATATGTTTCAACCCAGTTTAATTCCAAAATTAAGACTATTAGGACTGATAATGGTCTAGAGTTTCAAATTCCAAAATTTTATACCTCCAAAGGTGTTGTTCATCAGACTACCTATGTGTATACCTCTCAACAAAAATGGCACTGTTGAGAGGAAACATCAACACATCCTAGCAGTAACCAGATCTCTTTTTTTTTCAGGCTCATTTACCTTCTCACATCTGGCATTTTGCTGCTATGCATGTTGTTCATATGATAAACAGATCACCAACACCTTTACTTGATAATTCTACTCCATATGAAAAGCTACATGGCCAACCAGCTGACCTTAGTCATCTTAAGGTGTTTGGTTGTCTCACTTATGCATCAACCATCCAATCTCTTAGAACCAAGTTAGATCCTCGAGCAATAGCTAGTGTTTTTCTAGGTTATCCTCATGGCACTAAAGGATACAGACTATACAATCTAAATACACATGCCATTTTTATATATAGAGATGTTTTATTTCATGAAGACATCTTCCCTTTTTTATAAAGACAGTAACAAGGTCACTCCTTCAGTTCTTTTACCTGTCTTTCCAGAATCACTATCATTAACAGATCTTGTTTCTATACACACTAATGCTAGACCTGCATCCCCTACTACCACTGTTCCATTAAGTACAGTTTCTCCTACTACTGTACCTTCTTCTTCTCCTATTACAGATTAGCCACTTAGTACAGTTCCTCCAACAAATGTACCTTTTCCTACTCCTGTTATCCCTCAACCACTTCCCTTAAGGAGATCAACTCGACAAATCATTAAACCTGCAAAATTAAAGGAATACAAATGTAATCTAATTGGTATAACTACCAATACAGATTCCACCATAGTATATCCTATCCAGGATATTCTGACTTATAGTAGTCTAAGTCCCAACCACATGAAGTTTGCACTTGCCATTGGTCTTCTTAGAGAACCAACTTCTTTCAAAGAAGTTGCTCAATATGAAGAATGGCTAAAGGAAGCGCAGTCTGAACTAGCATCTCTTCCCAAAACTAAGACCTGGGTCTTAGTAGATCCTCCTCTCAACAAACCAATTATTGGTAACAAATGGGTTTTTAGAATCAAATACCTCTCTGACGGCAGCCTTGATAAATTTAAAGCTATTATTAGTTGCAAAAGGATATACCCAAACTCCTGGGGTTGACTATTTAGACACCTTTTCGCCTGTAATTAAAATGACTACAGTTCTCATTTTCCTTGCATTAGCTTCAATCAAAAACTGGTTTCTTGAACAGTTGGATGTTAATACAGCTTTTTTGCATGGTGACTTCAATGAAGAGGTGTACATGGCACTCCCACCTGATCTCCAGGTTGCACCAGCAGACAAGCATAAAGTTTGCAAATTAACCAAGTCTTTATATGGCCTCAAACAGGCTAGTCGTCAATGGTTTGCAAAACTAGCTGAAACTCTTGAAGAATTAGGCTATAGGAAGTCTAACTGTGACTATTCTTTGCTTACCAAAAGTCATGACAACAATTTTACTACTTTACTTGTTTACGTAGACTATATCATTTTAACTGGTAATTGTCTTCCTGAAATACAGAGAGTCAAAAAGCATTTAGATGATAAATTTACTATCAAAGATCTTGGCCAACGTAAATATTTCCTTGGCATGGAAGTCTCCAGATCAGAATCTAGCATTCATTTGTGCCAACGTAAATATGCTCTGGATTTACTCTCTGATACAGGTTTCTTGGCTTCTAAGCCTGCTACTACACCTTATGTACCTGCTACTCACCTATCTAGCACTGATGGTGAACCATTAAATGTTTTTGCTCACAGTAGCTATATAACTTTAATAGGCAGACTTCGGTATCTATGTAACACTAGGCCAGACATTTGCTACACTGTCAATCAGCTTAGTCAGTACATAGATTCTCTTACTACTAGCCATGAAATTGCTACACATAGACTTCTTCGCTGCCTTAAAACGAATCCTGCTAAAGGACTCTTTTTCCCTTCTAATTCTAGCATCAAGTTAACTGCTTTTTCTGACTCAGATTGGCCAGGATGCCCTGACACCCGATGTTCTGTAACTGGTTTTTGTGTTTTCCTAGGGTCTTCTCTCATCAGCTGGAGGTCCAAGAAGCTGCAAACGGTTTCAAGATCATCCGCCAAAGCTGAATATCGGGCGCTTACAGACACCTCCTAGGAACTTCAATGGATGACATACCTCTTCCAGCAGCTTCCAGTCCAGCCTTAGCAACCCTATTTCATCTACTGTGACAGTCTGTCCACAGTAAAGATGACAGAGAATCCAATCCAACACGAAAGGACCAAGCATATAGAGGTCGATTGCCACTTCACACGAGATCAAGTTCTTGCCAAACAGTTGAAAGTTCAGCACATCTCCACCACCCTTCAACTTGCAGATCCCTTTACTAAAGCCTTACATGTGCGTACATTCATCGATTTGATTTCCAAGATTAACATGAAGTCTATCCATGTTTAGCTTGTGGGGGGTTTTAGAATATAGGACCATAATGTAAACTTACAACAAGTTAGATTATTAGAATGTAAATAACCATAGGATTAGTTAGAGTTAGTTACAGGATTAGACTATAAATACAGCTACTTTACTTTATCTCTGTACTTTTTTTTCTCCATTCATTCACTCTGAATACAGACACATTCTCTATAATCAAAGATTCTAGCAACTATGGACCCAAAAACCAAGTCCATGTGATCAATTTTTTATTGATTTTTATTGTTATAATTGAGTTAATCTTATAAGATCATTTAATTCCTTGTATTTAAGTAAAGTGATACAAGGTTAATTTTCAAGGTAAACAGATTTCAGTGAAACAAGGAGTGCAAAAATTTGAAAAGATCCAAAATTAACACGGGTTTTTGCCTATCACGTCACACCAATGGCAATGAAGACCCCGCTTCCTAGAGTGAATTGAAGCATGATTGTTTTTGATTCGTGGTGGTGGCGGGAGTACCCACCTTGATTGATTTGTTAGGTTAGGTTAGGTACACTCCCCCCCGTCCGTCAATCATCGTATCTATCACACGGTTCAGAGTCTCTCTCTCTCTCTCTCTCTGCGTGCCTTCCTACCGCAATCACTATCTCTCTCCTCTGATGGGTTTGGAGTATGAACGGGCAGTGGGTTTTGTGTTGAATAAAATTGCTATCGTCCAATCCAATTCCAACCCCAACTGTACTGTAGTAAGCTGTCGTTGTTGTACTAAATTGTGATTTTAATTAATTGGGGCGCTGATGACGGGAATAATTGTGATTTGTTTTCTCCACCCGCTCGTCCACCTCCAGCAATGCAAATGCAGCAGAGGGAAGAAGAAGAAGATCACATCGCACCAGGCACAGCTAAGCTAGGCTCTCCTCTCTCTCTCTCTCTCTCTCATTGACCGCGATAATTTGGTTTGACCAGATAGATAGATGGGTAGGTTTCTGTGGTTCTTGTTGGATTCGGTTGGTTTATTTATGCCATTTCTCTCTCTCTCCCTCTCAAGCTGTCTTCGTTATAAGGAATTCACAAAATTCATGAATCAAGTCACTAATAGCTCTTGGTCAAAAAAAAAAAAACTCACTAATAGCTCACCAAGTTTGAAACAAGTGTTGTGGATGATTATATGATGCCTCGTGAGATTAACGGGAACAAAAAATTTTACTTTCTCAACGTTTTTTATTGATGATATTATATTTACTGGTAGCAAATAGCAATATCTATGAACCAAAAAATTATAAGTTTGTACATGATGATAAAGTGGAGATGAAACTATAATTTTGATCATGTACTTTTCATTTTGGATGTTGAGATGCTACATCCTTTCCAATGTACTTTTCGAATTGGCACCAAAATAACTATATATATTGATGAGGTCAGAGATGGTTTCAAATGAAAAGATTAGGGTTAATTGTATGGTTGGTCATTGATATTACAAAAAAACGTTCAAGTTTGGTCACTCAAAATATTTAAATTCATTGATGGTATTTCAGTTTACTGAAACCGTTCACGTTTGGTCACTCTCTGTCCAACTCCGTTAACTTTTTGTTTACGTGGCGGTCAACTCTAAAAGTTTACCGTTAAATGTGTGATGTGGCAACTAAAAATAATAGAATTAATTTTTTTAAAATTTCCATATCATTTCTAACTATTAAAAATAAAATTATAAACTATTAAAATTAAGAACAAAGGCCCATAAAAAATAAAAATAAAAATTAAGAACAAAGGCGGAGATTGAGATGAGAGCTCGAGAGGATGTAGAAATCGTTCGTGACATGACGCCGGCGATTCTACTGATCTCGTTCTCCCTTCACGACGCCTTTCTTCACTCCCACTGCTCCGCTTGCTTCTCCCCTCTCTCTCCGGTCGGTCGTTCCCACCATGCCGCCACCGTCATCTCTCCTCGTCCGTCTTTTACTGTTCTTCTCTTTGCTCCGCCGCCGACTCCCCTCTCCACTTCTCCTCGACGGAATCCAATCTCCTCGCCTCCGTCGCCCTCTCCTGAGTCCTCTGCGGACCTCTGCGTCGTGCTCCGCCTTACGAACTCTGTATCATAACATAATGATACAAATTTCTTTACAGTACAACATAAACTTATATATTTAATGTTATGGTACAACTCCAAGTTGTACATTAAAGCACCAATACTATATAGCATAGTACTAGTGCTCATATAAATTTTGTAAGAGGTAAGGTTGTAAGCTAAATTTCTTTTAGTTAGATGGATTTTATATTAAATAATTTTTGGATTATAGATTGAATAGTGTTTTTTACTTTTTTACTTATGTTCGGAGAAAATGTGAAAAGTGTGTTTATTTTTACATAAACTTAAAGTTGGGAAAATTCTGAAGAAAAGTAAAGAAAAAACAAACACCTCCATTCAAGTATAATATATATGCTCAAGTTTGACTTATAAGTTGACCGTTAAATGTGTGATGTGGCAACTAAAAATAATATAATTATTTTTTTTAAAATTTCCATATCATTTCTAACTATTAAAAATAAAATTATAAACTATTAAAATTAAGAACAAAGGCCCATAAAAAATAAAAATTAAAATTAAGAACAAAGGCAGAGATTGAGATGAGAGCTCGAGAGGATGTAGAAATCGGTCGTGACATGACGCCGTCGATTCTACTGATCTCGTTCTCCCTTCACGACGCCTTTCTTCACTCCCACTGCTCCGCTTGCTTCTTCCCTCTCTCCGGTCGGTCGTTCCCACCATGTCGCCAGCGTCATCTCTCCTCGTCCGTCTTTTACTGTTCTTCTCTTTGCTCCGCAGCCGACTCCCCTCTCCACTTCTCCTCGGCGGAATCCAATCTACTCGCCTCCGTCGCCCTCTCCTGAGTCCTCTGCGGACCTCTGCGTCGTGCTCCGCCTTACGAACTCTGCCTCCGGAGATCGGATGTTCGGTTTGCTAACCAACCACGAGAAATTGCTGGCAGAGGACGACGAGATCTCCGATCGCGTGAGGAGCGGAGCTGCTGCCATGGCGGCTGCGAGGGGAAGGAGGAACGGTGTCGGCACCGGTGCCGAAGAAGAAGAGGAATCGGCGATTTGCTTGGTGATCACCAACGGAGTGGAGGTTGTGGATGAGAAAGGGAGAGGACTCGGAATCGCCGTTTACGATTTAAGAGGATTCAAGAGGATTCCCCTTTCGTTTTTAATTTTAAATTGCCACGTCACACATTTAACGGTCAACTTTTAGATTTGACCGCCACATAAACAAAAGTTAACGGAGTTGAACGGAGAGTGACCAAACATGAACGATTTCAGTAAACTGAAGTACCACCAATGGATTTAAATATTTCGAGTGACCAAACTTGAACTTTTTTGTAATCTCATTGGCCAACCATACAATTAACCCGAAAAGATTATTAACTACAAGATAAATCACAGCTAAATAAGCTATGAAAATTTAGTAATGTGCAAAATAATTATGTATGCATTAATGTCATCGGAAAATGTGTTTGGTAAGGATTTAGGAAAGTAAAGTTGATGGGAGGTGATTTTTTTATAATTAATAGAAAAGTAATTGATCGGACGGTATATAATTTTTTTTTTTTTTACAATCGTATATATAATATATTTAGTAATAAATGAGTAAGGGAATTTTGAGAAATCACTGTTATGATTATATTTTAATAATATATATAAATTTAAGAATTTTTACAATGCTATATAGTATTGGTGTTATAGATTTTTTTTCTTTACGGTACAATTTGAAATTGTACATTTAACGTTATGGTACAACTTCAGATTGTACCTATACTTTTTTGTACAAATTCTTTTATGGTACAACTTGAACTTGTATCTTTATGTGATGGTACAACTTCAAGTTGTAAAGTTGTATCATAACATAATGATACAAATTCCTTTATGGTACAACATAAACTTATATATTTAATGTTATGGTACAACTCCAAATTGTACATTAAAGCACCAATACTATATAGCATAGTACAACTCCAAATTGTACATTAAAGCACCAATACTATATAGCATAGTAGTAGTGCTCATATAAATTTTGTAAGAGGTAAGGTTGTAAGCTAAATTTCTTTTAGTTAGATGGATTTTATATTAAATAATTTTTGGATTATAGATTGAATAGTGTTTTTTACTTATGTTCGGAGAAAATGTGAAAAGTGTGTTTATTTTTACATAAACTTAAAGTTGGGGAAAAGAAAAAACAAACACCTCCATTCAAGTATAATATATATGCTCAAGTTTGACTTATAAGCGGATGTTTCAGTGATTTAGACATGAAACATTGGAAAGCAGCCAAACATATGATGAACTCATTCGATGAAGATTATATGGTTTTAGACATCATGGGATACTCTGGTTTCGGTTAAAAGGCCACGTCACTCTGATATGCATTCCATGTAAACGTATAGCTATTGAACTAAGCAGAGTCTAGAAGTGATACTATTGAGAAGTAGCTGGAGAACTCACTCCAAATACTACGATTTGAATGGGTGGATACCTACTTATATATATTTCCCAAAACCTTAACCCAATCATTTGTTTTTTTAATTCTCCTCGGTCAAGTAGAACAAAATTCTAGTCGACTAGAACCACAAACTTCCTTATTAGCATATTAGCTTCTCTGCAATCTGCATTGTTTGTTATCAGTAGTATTTTGTAGCAGTTCATGGTCTACCGAAATGAATACGTTTATTTTTCATATCTTTCATAACCTAAGAAGTTATTTCATTAGAAAAATCTTAAGATTGATAATGCCCTTTAATCATTGATATTAGTTAATTTATATGAAATATGTAATAAATCTTTTCTCAAATAACAATCAACAAAATACATCTTTATGTATGAACTTCTCATCGTCCTCCTAATTTTCAACGCAGAACAAATAAGCGCCCTGACATAGGTTGGGGAGATAATTGATTGATACATAGGGGCATTTTACTACAGGGTACACAGCTGGAAAACTGTACCAGGACAAAGCTATAAGGGTTAGGAGAGAAAAAAAAATATAGATGATTAGATTCCATTATTCCTCTTGTTTCTCTTCTTCATTACCCCTTATATATTATAATTATCAGTATTATTAGTTTAAAAAGGATGCATAATAATAATAATGATAATAAATAAGGGATAGAGAAAAGGCTGCCTGGCAGTGGCTGGCTTGGTGCAGCAGTGCTGGGGTCTGGTTTGTTTAAATTATTAGAAAGATAAGATTAATATTTTCTTGGTTATCTCAAAATAATGCAAACACTGATCCCATCCTCTGCTCAGCAATCTACTGTCCTCTTCCGGTCTTCCCCCCAACTTGCCAATCACGTCCTTCCACCTGTCCGCCTCCTTTTAGTCAGCTCTCCATATTTACCTCAATTCTAGTAATTAAGTAACTAACTAACCACATGATTATCAATCAACGTCATTCCAAACCTCAAGACAAGAGTGTTTATACAAGCTAACCATTCATGACATAAAAAAGTCGGAAAGTAGGAGGATTTTCCCCACAAACTACCTCTTCACTACAATACTACTAGGTTTGGTGTATATTTCCCAATCTATCTAAGTTTGGTGTATATGGTTGATGGTTCGGGTCTCCAACGATCTATGAAAAATTTGTTGATATTCCAACAATGTAACAAGATGATAGAGGTCTCCAATGATTTCTCCTTATTGGGATCGAGGTTTCAAACAACTATAATTTTGCTCTCGAATATCTAACTGATACAAAAAAAAAAATTAATATGCATGGAAAGTTTTACTAGGGAACCTTTTTTGAATATATGATAAATTGGAAAATAGACTTAAAGTTATACCCAAAGTCCCTAAAATCTTAAAAAAATGCCCTCTCATTAAAATTGTCTCATAATAGAGCAACAATTTTTGAAAATTTGTGAGATTCAAATTTTGTGAACGGACTTTCATTATTATTCCACATCTTTCGTTCCTGGCCTCATATAAGAGTTGAAAGATTATGATACTCGGACTGTCACTAATCTCTGTTCCATCCACTCTCATAGTCATATCTAATATGTTAGTTGAGAGCTTCGAATTTTTATTGGAACTTCTAAATTTGAATTACCTTTATTTGCTTCAACTTCAATTGGAATGGAACATAAGATGGTGCCAAGCCCATTATAATAAACATGTACATGAATATTAGTGTTTCAATGAACACAATAATTAATGTCTTCTCTTATACCAACTTTGCCAAGGTGTAGAAAGGGACATTTGTTACGTTGTTAGCTCATTAGTGATTCCACAATTTGGCGTAATCCATTCGGGTGGAATCACGATCACAAGTATAAGTTGAAACGTGCTCAATGACAAGTTATTGACCATCTTGGTGCTTTGGCTCAATTGCACCTTGGACATATGCAACTTTTGCATAGTAACACATGTTAAACCGTTAAAACATTAGTATTGTATAAAGAGTGAGCCCAATTGGGTCGAAACATGTTCATTAAATGGGGCGTGTTCGCAAATTCTTACGCACAATATAAGTGTTTTCCTCAAATGAAGGTCGTTTGTACAAAAACTTGTGGGAGGACCCATCAAGCTCACTTTTATAGAGTACATATCAAACATTCCAGTAGTGTCTAAGTTATTAATGCAAGTTTCACTTAATATCATAGAAAATCACTTCCATTTCTCTTCAAATCAATCAAATCTAACCTTACTCCGCTTTCATATTGAACCTATGAGAGAATGTTTCCGCTTTGATATGAAGCGAGGATGGAAGTTGTTCAAGCCAAGTAAGTAGTAACCCTCTCTGCGCCTCCGGTCTTCGGATTCGTCTAGGCATCGCCTGCACAACAAGTAACATTGTGTCCTGAGCGCCCTTTAGTCTTCCGTCGGTCAAGTCAGCATAGTGTTTTCTATAAAGAGAATTTCCAAACTCAGTATTTTAGCGAGAGAGCTTGATCCCCTTAAATGCGATTTACCCTCCCTACTTGTTCTTAGAGCAATTCCGAAAAGCTGTCTATCTTTCTGCCACACGTAAGCACCCGCATTTTACGCTCCGTACCCTCAAATCGGCCATGCGCCTCGACCAACACTAGGATGGAGCTAAGGATGGCACTTCACTGACTAGCATAAACATGTACATGGGTGTTAATGTATCAATGTAGGCACCAATTATATAGCTACTCGTCTAAGGTGAAGAAGAGAGCTATGATGTTGGCACATACATGAAGCCCGTGTAGGTGGAATCACAATCTTAATCGTTGATTGAAACGTGCACAACATATAGCTATCAACTCCTTTGCGCTTCACCCGAATTGCACATTAGAATATATATATATATATAACTAGATGGTGATGCCCCGCCTTGTCGCGGGCGGATTGTAATTTAAATAAATTTGGAGTAACAAAATGTTATTGTTTATGCAATAGTAACCGTACTTGTAGGTATGAAATTTCATAAAATTTAGATACCAAAACATAATTGTTCAATAATTTTACATTAAAATTAAATTTGAGGTATCAAAATGTAAAATGTACATTATAGTGACTAAGTTGTAATTTAAATAAATTTGGAATAACAAAATGTTATTGTTTATGCAACAGTAAGCGTAATTAAGGTTTATATATAGTAACTTTGGCACGAAAACATAATGATTACATCCCCTTTGATGATACAATATGTTAGTATACACCATCTTAGTTATCTATTAATAAAAGGCTCCTAGGGGAGAGTAAACAAAAAGAAAAAAAGGATTAGAAAATAAATAGATGGAGTAAGTTGGGAGGGAATTGAGAGGAGTGATTTGGTGGGGCAAAGAGGATCATTTCTTCTTCATGGTATGAATAGTATGATGAGGGAGAGTGGTGGGTTGGATGGGAGCTGCTGCCTTAGTTGGTGCACCATAATAATAATAATTGATCAGCATTTTTATCTCAAAAGAAATGAAAGTTGAGAAGAAGCTTAGCAGTCCTCTTTCTCTCTTGAGTGTGTGTTTAGTTGGCAGTTGGCACTCTCATTTTCCTCTTCTTTAATAATTAACCCTGAATCAAAAAAAGTAAATAGAAAAATTATTATTATTATTAGATTAAAGTGTGTAACAGCAAGGAGGAGACGACTCTCTCTCTCTCTCTCTCTTGCTAGCTGGCTGGCTGGCTGAAAAATTAAAACAGTTGGCAAACCTGTCGGTAAAAAGAGAATGCGAGATTAATAAATCAAAAAAATAATTAAATTAAAACAGGAAAGGAAAGCAAGGTAACCAAAGTAAGCAAAGCAAGCTTGGCCCTCAAGAGAAGAACCTTACCTTACTCCCTCTCCCAGCCCTCCCCACTAAATCTAAAAAATTGCATTTTTTTCTAAATCAGTATAAATGAGTTTTAACTGGAAAACAAATCAATCAAAGCATTATTCGATATTCAATCTAATAGTTGAGTGATAAATATTTAGGTTAACAATGAAGTGAACTGATAAATTGAGTAAGTAGATAACTTTAAATTCAAAGATTTTGAGATCGAATTAATAAGAAATAAAAATTTGTGTAATCATTATATATGTAGCTCATGAGAAAAAAGGGATAGCATAGTGATGATAAATGCAGCTAAAGAGGTTTTGTAGTAATAAGTGATTACTGCCTGTAATAATTTGGCAGAGAGAGGAAGAGTGAGTGAGAGCAGTTGGGTTGGGCAGTTGTTAATTATGCATTTATGCTTCAAAATCATACATGTCACCTGCTACTGCTAGCTAGCTTGAGCAGGTAAGCCAAAGGAAGTGACTTTTTCCCCCCTCTCTCTCACTCAAGTCTCAATCCTTTTCTCTCTCTAGGCTATAGGCTGAGAATAGCTCTCCTCTGCACATTGCTGTGATCCATATAATAAAGACTTGGAATTTGATGCTCCCTCCCCTGTTTTTCCTGTTTGTGGAAAATACACAACACCCCCAGTTGCCTTGCTGAAATTTGGTTTTGATTTTGGGGTTTCTCCTCTGTCCCCAATTTGGGTCTAGCATTTGATGCTCTGCTCTTCAAGCTACTCGTCCAAATTCTCAAAAGCCCACCAGTCCCTCCCTACCCCTCTTCCCATTTTAGGGGGACTGTGAAAGCAAACTCTTCCAATTCAATTCCCCCCACTGTAGTAAGGGCAGAATTCAATCAGAATTTGATGCTTCTTTGGACTTTCCTTGGATAAAAAAAACCCCACATCTCAGAATATCTCAAAAGAGACCCTCTGCAGAAAAGCTTCCACCTTTTTCTTCTTGTTCCTGCTGTTTCCCTCACTGGGTTGTTTGTTCCTTGATTCAGACATTGAACCCAGCTAGCCAAGCTTGGTCCTTTTTAATTGGAGTTGCTGATTGAGGAGGTTCAAGGGTTCTGAACAAGCTAATTCCCTCCTTAATTGGGGATTTAACTCAAACTCAAGCTGGTGGTGCTAGCTAAAGGGTGAGGCTGCGAGGGAAAGGGAATCTGCTTTCTTTTGGGAGTTGGGGTTTTTGATGAGCTGCTAGGAAGCTAAATTGGATGCTTTTGTCTTCTACTCTACTTCTTTATGCTCTGAAAGGTGCACTTTCTTGTCTCTAAGGAAGAATTACCCCCACCCATTTCGTTCATTTCCAATGCACATTTGAGTAGATGTTTGATCCTAAGGCAATTTCCTCCCGTTTCCCATTTCCATTTTTCCATAGGAGATACTAATAAGTGAGTAGCTGTCTATCTGCTGCTGCTGGTGCTGTTGATTTAGATTTTATGCCTGCTATCTAAGATCTCCCCCTCTTCTTTTTCTCACTTTTCGTGTCCATGGGGATGCTGCATCAACGAGGTGTTGTCCTTTTACTTTAGCATCCCAAACCTCATCAGTTCTATAAAGCTGCCAAGGTTTCTTGTTCCTTGTTGAGTCCTGCAAGATATCACCACCCAGCTAAGCTAATTTTGGTCAAACTCCAACTTTATCTTTTGTGTGTCCAGACCCTTCTCCCTTGTGTTCTTTATATCTATATATATCTAGTCCTTTTGATTCTTTCCCAATTGTGTGTAGAGAGGTTGTAGGTTACTTCTTCTTTTCCCTTCTGATATACTTCTTTCCTTAGAACTTGGGGAGATTAGTTCTTCTGGATCATAGAGATGGGACTGGGGGCTGGTAATGGTGGTGACCAGTTATCTTCCGGAATGAGCACAAATCCTTTCTACGCTTCTGGTTGGGATCCAGTTGCTATTTCTCTTAGCCAACATGAGAGCTTTGGAGGTTCATCCATGGATTCTCAAAGTGAATTCTCCCATCACCATCACCAATCATTTCCAATGCTAATGGACGGCAATGGAGGAAATCCCAACTCTCATCACCTTGCTCATTACCCATCTGAGTCCAGCTATGTGGAGATGGTGCCCAAATTCTCTTCCTTCGGAAGTGGGAACTTCTCAGAGATGGTGGTTGGACCGTACGGGCTAACTGAGTGTGGCCAGATCGCCAACCAAGGTTGCCATCCAAATTTCGGCTCAGGCAAGGAGGCGGAAAATGAGAGGGCTTTGAGAAATGGATCACAGTCTCAAGAGGATCATCCAATGTCTGATGGAGTTGGCAATTCTCCTAATAATGTAAACAGGAGGAAAAGAATTGCCGAGTCGAATTCTCCGTTCGACTCAAACAAGGTAAACTAATCTTGAAACTTGTCTTCGCTCTTGAGTAATGTTTGTAGTATGAAAAATGTTGTCTGATTATGATCTTCATCTGCTGTAGAATGCCGACGGAGACCTGCTAAAGGATCCCTCTGGAGAGGATAGTGATGGTCCAAAGGGGAGGGAAGATAAGAAGCCAAAACAAGAACAAAATGCTGGTTCTAATTCTAAGGGCAAACAGGCGGCTAAACAGGCTAAAGAAGAATCAAACAGTGGTGGAGATGGTAAAGATAGTTACATTCATGTTAGAGCCAGAAGAGGTCAGGCTACAAATAGTCACAGCCTTGCAGAGAGGGTAACCCTTCTGATTTTTATGCTTTCTGGGAAATGATGTATTGGTAACCATTCGATATTATACTTTTTGGCAAAAGATGTTTGTATATATAAGAGAAACCATACATATGCTCAAAGCCTTGTGCTAAATGTGGAATTTGGTTTTCAGGTGAGAAGAGAAAAGATCAGCGAAAGGATGAGACTGCTACAAGAACTTGTGCCAGGATGCAATAAGGTACCTACTACTTTAGACATGATTATGGTTCTGAAACTGTTTTTATGACGAGGAATATGAAGAAAAACTAATGGAATTGTGGGTTTTTGTTGATTGATCCCTTATTAGATTACTGGAAAGGCAGTTATGCTTGATGAGATTATCAATTATGTACAGTCACTGCAACAGCAGGTTGAGGTAAGCTATCTATATCAAGGATATAATACTTTCATGATAGATCAAATATTGCAGTTGCTAGTTGCAAGAAGCTTGCCCGAGTTCAGTTCTAAAATCAGTTAGACACTGATCAAATATTGCCCTTGCTAGTTACCAGAAGCACTACAGTTACATACTCCATAGGTGTGTTGTAGAATGACTGGGAGAGGGTAGCCTTAGCAGAATCCATTGTTCCTTTTCCTTCCCTTTCCTGTCTACTAGTGTAATAATAAAAGTGAGAGGTTGTTCTGGTATTTCCAACGTTATTGATACTATCCATTACCTGCAATCCACCTGTTAAAAATAGTTACTTAAACATTACATTTTGAAAAGCTATCTACTTCAGAAGATAAGTATTCTTCAAATTCTGTCCATTTCACAATTCACCATCTTGACGACCTCTTAAAACCTAGAAAGTCACATGTTGCTCATTCATATTGGTTTCTTCTTCCTAGTGAAGCAACTGTGCGTCTGTTGCAATATATGGTCTACTATTTGCTTGTCAATGAAACTTGCTACAGTCCTATGAGAGGTTTTTTCAATTCAGTGATGAAATTCTTTTTGAATTCAGTGATGAAACTTGCTACTGTTGCAATATATGGATTATGGACTCATCCCAGCCCTATGAGAGGCTTTTTCAATTCAGTGATGAAATTCTTTTGCTTCCTTGTGGTGCAGTTCTTGTCAATGAAACTTGCTACAGTCAATCCAGAGCTGAACATTGATATTGAGAGGATACTATCCAAAGAAGTGAGCAAGCCAAGCTCCAATCCCTCTCACAATTTTGGTTTTCCCCCTTGATTGTTTGGAGTTTGGACTAATAAAGTGCTTCTTTCACACAATGCAGCTCCTTAACTCTCGGGGCAACAATTCCTCGAGTCTCGGGTTTAACCCTCTTACTAGTGGGACCCATTATCCACCTGGAGCTTTCCCACCAGGAATGCCAGTCATGCCGAATATGAATCCACAGTTTGCCTCCATGCCTCAAGTAAGATAAAAAGGTCCTATATATTGATCCAAGTTAACCTTGTCACATAATGCATTAGCATTTCTAATCTGTTAGTGGTCGTGCAGCCCGGATTAGACAATGAACTCCAGAGCCTTCTCCATATGGGATTTGAACCCGCATCAGCAATCGATAACCTAGGACCAACTGGTAAATCTTATTTAAGCACCTTATCCTCCTCACTATTCAAATTCATGCTTCATGTAGCTTAACCTTACGCATTCTTCTGTCGTCTTTCTGACAGGACGCTTGAAACCAGAGATGTGACAATATCTTAGAAGTCATGATGACATAGAGTCAGCTTTAAAAACTTCCTGCTAACAGAGAAAGAGATGTTTCTCTAGTGTATTTCAAGTTGAGCTTTATCTCAGCTGAAAGCAAAAGAAAAAGGAAGGAGGATAGTTGGTCTTTGTTGGGTTGTTGTATAGGTTTCAGCTCCTAACTACTGGGTGGGTTTCTTCGAGTTTTAGCAGAAGAAAGATTTATTAAGATTGGTGTGTGCTGCTACAATGCTAAAGAAAAGGACCCAAAAATGAGAGAAGGGCCAACCCACACCTGTATATTGATTTCCAATTAGACAAACAGAGGGAAAGTGACTAGAAACTGTTCATTTTCTTTTTCTTTTTGCTCATTGTTATATTCAATGCAGTTAAAATTCCTTTGTTTGCTTTTTCATCTGTAATTCTCCTTTCTGATACTTGGAGAGTGGTGATGATAAGAACAGGTGCTGTGTACATGTGCTGTACGAGGTTTTCATGAGTGTTGAGTACACAGCACAACTGTCGTTGTAATTGCCAACTGAGCAATGAATCATTATTGTGTGAGAATAGTATATCCGCCATGGAAGGTTGGGAAGAAGATACCATGAAATGATTCGTAGATTGTAGATAACACGATATATATATATATGCTTCAGGCAAGCGTACGTTAGTCGTACATTGTACGCTCGTCGAGTTTTATTATTTAGAGCAGGAATTAACCGAAATTTTGGGCATGATACTATACCCTAACCTCTAATGGATAAACCCTAGTCCCTAATTCTCTAACCTAAGCCACGAGATTCATTTAATCTAAAAAATAATAACCGACAATACTGATTCAGCGAAATATATTAAAGTGCAAAAACCAAGTGTGAACACAGGCGTACAACGTACGACTGACGTACGCTAGCCTTTGCCATATATATATATATATATATATATATATATATATATATATATATAGAGGGTTAAAGACACATTTGGTCACTGATATTACTAAATCGGGACATGTTTAGTCACTAGAAAAAATTAATATCAATTTTAGTCACTCGAATTACTGAAACATGTCACATTTAGTCACTCTCCGCTAGCCTCTGTCCAACTCCGTTAATAAAGTCCGTTATGTGCTGACGTGGCTAACGAGAGCGCCTAGTCAGCGCCAAGTGGTCAAACCCGACCTACAACGTCACTAAACCAGCCATGTCATACACCCAACCCATTAACCCAACCCACCAACCCAACTCTAGACCACTTAACAAAACAAAATTGGAAAAGCTCCAACTCGCTCTCCTCTTCACCGCCGTCTTCCCAAATGAAACAACATCAGCAGCATTTGCAAGATCATCAAGATTAGAAGGCCCCTTCGAGGTCTCCCCCGATGACATCGTGAATTTCGAGGAGAAAGATGACATCGACTACGCCGCCGTCCAGCTCTCCGGAAGCGAGAGGGTCCAGTTCCTCTTCACGGTGAAGCAGCTCGTTGCTTCTGGAAAACCAGAGAGATTCAACGGCGAGTTTTTGGTTCCCAAGTATAGAGGGTCGTCGTTCTTGGACCCAAAGGGCAGATGCGGGTCACAGGGTTATGACAATGCGGTGGCGCTGCCCCCGGCGGGAGAGGGGATGAGGAAGAGCTGGCAAAGGAGAACGTCAAGAACCCGGCGGCGACGTAGGGGAAGATTACATTGAGCGTGACCAAGAGCAAGCAGGAGACAGGGGAGGTGATTGGGGTTTTTGAGAGCGTTCAGCCGTCGGACACCGATTTGGGCGCCTCAAGGATGTGAAGATTCAGGGGGTTTGATATGCTCAGCTTGATTAAGTAGAGAGGAGAGGTTGATGATGAGAAGCTTTTGTTTCATTGGGGAAGCGGCGGTGATGAAGAGGAGAACGAGTTGGAGCTAAGGTTTTCCAATTTTGTTTTGTTAAAGTGGGTAGGGTTGGGTTAGTGGGTAGGGTTAATGGGTTGGGTGTATGACATGGCGGGTTTAGTGACGTGGCGGGTCGGGTTTGATCATTTCCGGCCCAAAACAGCGCTGATTAGGCAATTCTGTTTGCCACATCAGCACTTAACGGACTTGACTAACGGAGTTGGACGGAGAGTGACTAAATGTGACCTGTTTCAGTAATTCGAGTGACTAAAATTGATATGAATTTTTTCTAGTGCTAAACATGTCCCGATTTAGTAATCTCAGTGACCAAATGTGTCTTTAACTATATATATACTAGGCGGAGATGCCGCGCCTCATCGCGGGACGGAGATGACCTATGGCATGAATTATGTCGCCCGTTATGGTGTTTTGTTAATATTATTAGCCTAAAATTCACTTTTTGTTAGCAATTTTTGGTAATAATGACTTGACAATATGATATTGAGTGAAAAGATATATGACGGTCAACATTCAATTTTGTTTTTGAAAATTTTGGCTAATAAATGATATTAACCTAAACCAAGTAGACCCATTGATTATGAGTAGGGTATGGGTGACATATATAGGGTATGGATATTTACTTTACTAATCTAAATGTGTATGAGTTGGGTGTGGATACCCATTTAATCGAGGGTGTCTTAATTACACATACCAAAATTAGACCTATTCGTAGAATTTTAAAAGTTTAGGTACTAAAATGTAATACATAAATTTTAGGTACTAAAACGTAATGTTCCATCAATATTGTGAGGACTTATATGCCAAAAAAATAAATTTAGGTTATAAATCTAAAGATCTATTAAGTTTAGGTACCGAACTGTAATGTGCATTAGTTGAGGCATAATTCCTTTTATGGTGATGTATTTAAGATGATAATCATTTACTTTTTTTTGTAGAAAATAGGAAACTATTTATTTGATATGTATAATTGTTGAAAATTCCATGTATAATTTTTGAAAATTCTAGCATGGTTGAAAAAAGAAGATGCAAAAAAAAAAAAAAAACACAAACTGGAACTCTCTTAAAATTTCACTCCTTCAAATCCTATAGTGGAAAATGAAAACTTTTAATAAGTAATAACCATATATATTTATTTGACATTGAGCTGAAAAAGTTAGTGATTCATGGTTCAATTAGTATTATTTCTCTAGACTATTGGTCAGTCGTGTATGAACCCGTTCATACTTGTGATTAGAATACATGGAAATAATATACTAATTAGGGTTAGACGAAGAAGGCAAATAAAGAAATAAAGAAAAGGTTATAGAAGGCGAGTGAAAAATAAAACGAAGAAAAAGTAGATGATGAAAATGTTTTGACCAATTCTTTTTAATACTTTTGACCAATTCTATTCTTGACTCAGAATGAACTGAATGCTAATTCTACGCAGAGGATGAACTAAACAACTAGAAGTCAGGAACAGAAATAAACAGAATAACAAAGTGGGGAGAGAGAGAGTGGGTATTCTGTTCTGAGTGTTGCTCCTCCTTATTACTTTGATCCTGTAGTTAGAATAGATGCACATTAGTATAGCTGTGAAGGATATAGCAGTTGCATATTTTGTGCTTTTATTCGTAACACTTGGTTGAAGTGCATTTCACTCGGTTTAGTGGAGTACGAGAGGGGGTCTCCTTGATAGTGTGAAGGTTTCATCTTTGAGTATAAGATATAAAATGAGCTCATCTAGGGAAGGATGATGTATCCTTGAACTGAAGACAGTAACTGGTGGGTGGATTACATGCTACGTGAACTTCTCTTGTCAACCTTGTTTGCATAATTATCAGTGTTACACTCTGGTTCTTGAAGTAATGTTTGCTAGTTTGGTGATTAACTAATTATCTTCGATCAAAATTAAGGGGGAGAAATAAGCAAGTATATATATCAAATTTAGAGGGGCATTCTGTTCACGCAGTCTATGGATTCATGGATTGGTGGATTGGATTCATGGATTCAAGTGAAATCTAAATATTGAACTAACGTGTACATTTTAAAAAATGTTGGTACAAAAACTCATAAAATTTAAATACCAAAACATAATTGTTTATTAATTTTGCATTAAAATTACATTTTTGAGTATCAAAATGTAATTATTTATGCAACAGTAACTTTGATTCTTCTTTATATATAGTAATATATATGTTTCAGTTTAGTCTCTAAACTGCCAAGGAGTTGATGTAAGTTAATGTTCAGTCACATAATTCTAGTGGATAGTTGAGTTATTAGCTTTTCTTTTCAAATACAAACTAGTTGAATCAATCTTTTCTTGTCGTTTTTTTCCGCTAAAGTAAATGTTACACATTCAAACTGTCTTGAGAAGGGAAGCTTCTCATGTGATGCCTAACAAGAATATTCCGTCATATTCTTCCTGGTTTGCTATGAGGTTTGAGAAACCAAAAAAAAAAAAAAGAAGAAGAAGAATAAGCAGCAGACCGATGAACTTGATATTGGATATGTTGAAATGTTGGGTGGCATTAACAAGTGTGATTTCAATGATGAATTACTTGAACATTAAATACGGCATTGGGCTGGACTTTTTTTTTTCATTATTGTCCTTGCGGATAGAATAGTCAAAGGTGGGTACCACAAACATAAAAGTCTCTACCGATTTATTGACGCAGAACATACAGAAGTCATAAAGACCTCGGTTCAACCCATGATAGCAAAGGGCACTGCGTGCCACCAAATGGGCAGCCCTATTCGCTTCACTAGGTGTGAAGTGAAATCGAATGAAAGGTAATTCACTAACAAGATTGTGAACTTCTCGTAGAATTTGTTGGGAGAAAACTTGTCATTAGCAAAATAAGTTTAGTGTTGGTATGGTTGGGTGTCTGAGAAATTGAGGGATCTTAGGATTGAGTTGACAAAGCCCATCACGGGCAGCTTGATTAACTTACTATGCTCAATGTGAGGATTGACATTGTGATGGCAGCAATTGATAATAATCAAATAAGACTAATGAGTTGATTGAGTTTGCAGGAAGGAAAACTTACATGTTATGCAGATTATGCTAAGCCGGATGAATAGGAAATTAGCCTAGCAAAGCTGTGCAAAAGCCAAAAGATCGTAGAAGAAAGGAATGAAACATCAAGACTAACGGCTAAATAATCTCGCATCAATTCTGAGTCCCAACAGGTTACGCTAGGATCTTCTTCTCAAATGGCTTGGCGGTCAAGGAAGGCCATTGAAAGGTCACATCAGCAAGCGATCAGCTCAGCATCAACAGCCTGGAAGGAAGAACTTCCCTTAGATGGCTGATTCACCAATCAGAAGCATTCAATGAAAAGAAGCTTACCATTCCTAAGGAGATTCTGAATCTGGTGAACATGGAAAGAAAGCTCAAGGGCAACGGTCAAAATGTTTAGATTATAAAAGGGGCTCTTGGGTAGAAAGAATGTGAGAACTTTTCCGGGAAATCAACACTACGAATAAAGCAATGTTATCTGCTGTGGGTAGTTTGATAGGAAAAAGGTTCAAGACATCGGGGAGATAGCTTGGGTTAAGTATTGGGGAAATACTGGGGTTTTGATCGACGGCGAGTTGATCAAAAGATTAGAATCTGTTCGATTGGCCGGGGAGGTTAATCGGGTGGCCGTTGATCAAAAGATTAGAATCTGTTCGATTGGCCGGGGAGGTTAATCG